TGCAATAACAGTTCTGTTAGATATGTGTTGTGGGATGCAATAGAATTAAATTCAAGTATGTTAATTACTAACATTCCAGATTGTTGCTCGCAAGAGACGCCCTCATATCTAAACTTCCTCCAAACATTGTCTGGATCAAAACCAGCCTTCATATGGTCCATGAAGCCAATTACTTTATTCACCGGTTCAATATATGCATCGTGGGTAGCTGAGCTGTAATGCTTGACAACGTCCTCATCCAACCTGACTTCAGCAAGATGCCAATGGTCCTGACGCACAAGCGGGATAAGGAGTACACTCTTCCTCGCAGCAATATGCTTTTGTATAAATGAAGTATATATGTGTGGGAAATCAGGAGTGTTTGCATAAAGGTTGTGCTGTATAATCCAAGTATAATGGAATGTTATGACGGGAGTAAACACGTGTTAAAGAATCATAGTATCGTAAAGTAGATAGCTTACGTAGAAGAAGACTAATACAATCCCATACTTATGGCTCAGGGGAACCATTTCTGGCCTATCCAGCCATGAGCTTATTCTATCGATCAAAGCTTCCATCAACTGAAAATGGAACATACATAAGACACACATTAGATTGCATAACAACCCTGTCAGATTGTGAGGAAAAATTGCATAAGTGAGGCAATTAAACTTGCATGGTCGTCAATACGTCCCCCTCGTAGTAGGTTGAGAAGCTCCATAGAATCAATACTACTGTTTGACATTTTTAAAACAATACTTGACCTGATATATGACAGAAAGATACAAAGATTAACATAAATGGTAAAACGTTAGCCTGATTCTGGAAAATTTAACATATAACAATGAACAATAACATGTTATAGCATAAGTTAACATCAATGAGCATAAGTTAACATGTTTCTTTTAACATGAACATGCATATAGAAACCAGAGTTCGCATGGATTGAACTTACTGATGAGCTTTCTGATTGCAAAACTCTGAGACCCATCTGTTCTCCTCTAGAGTGAGCTTTGCCGCTACATGATGGGGTATTCTAAAGTTGTGAACAAAGGTTCCTGCGCTATCAACCAGGCGTATGCTAAAATCATCAACAAAAGGAATCCCCTCGTTCAGCACCTTCAACAGAGCCTCCTCCTTCTTCTTGATTTTTTTGGTTTTTTGAAAATCCCACGTGCATTCACTAGGCTTGCAGTAGTACCTGATTTTTTCCCTAACATCCTCCTTGTGATGTGAAATTGTAATTAATTCTGGTTGGGCTATCTTCTTATTTTCCTCAATGAAAGGGGTTCGGATTAGCTGAGAACGAGTCCTGATTCTGGTACTTGGTCCCCTTGTTCCCTTCGAAACAACTTTCTTCGACCACTTTCGATAAACTTGTAATGAGTTCTTCTCCCCCATACCCATCTCCTCTACTTTCTCCGCACTGCCCTTCTCTTCTTCCTTCTCTTCTTCAAACATCTGCGCTAGCTCTTCCTCTTTCTCATGTACTTTCATCTCCTGCTCTCTAACTTCCACTTCAAAGTACTCCTCTCTAACTTCCACTTTCTCAGATGCCGATGAATCTACAAGTTTATTCTCCTGCAAGCTATCTTCCTGTTCTACTACTACTTGCTCTCTATCCTCCTCTCTATTCTCTTGCTCTCTATCTCCCTCACTCAGTGCTTGCTCTCTATCTTCCTCTTTCTCCTCATGCTCTCTGTCTTCCATCTCTTCCTCTTTATATTCCTCTCCAGTCTCTTCATCCTCGTCTTGGCCAACACTGTCTCCCTCCTGCTCAGCTTGTGCTACACCCTCCGTAATATGCGAGGCTTCCTTACCAATAATGCGCACGTCGTCATAATCGAAATAATCGACATCGTCACCCTTGCCAATGCTGTCAACACTTCTTTTCCTCTTCACA